TTCAAAATTTAAAAATATATATATATAACAATGCTTATAAGTACTGTGTGAAAAAATAACAGAAGAAAATTAAACTTTTAAATGATCCTGTGCACATGCTATTATAAATTTGAATGGAATGAAGTATTCTGTATCATGTAAGTTAGAAGTATAGAGATATATTTTTCCTATATGTGAACATATATATATGCTCACAAACATAAAGACATAAATGTATGTCTACATATGTGTCCATACATGATCTTCTGTCTGGATTGCTTACTTGAAATTCTCAAGGCCTAGAAAAGCACCTCGCAAGTGGTAGTCACTATAAATTGGTCAAACAAACTTGTGTATTGACCAAGTTGAAATATACTACCACACAAAGTTGTCTTTTTTTCCATTCTTAGTATATATTTTAATATTGAAGTTTAACTTTAATTTTCCTTAAGTTTTATAGCATTTGATTATCCATTTTTACTTTGTATTTATCTCAATATTTTGAGTAAATGAATATCAACAAAGTATCTACAAACCTGTCTTCTTAATTGGTATCAATCTCATCTATTTACTTACTTTTTATATATACCAGGGGTGTGTATTGAGTTTTCTAATACTTTTGCTTATGATGTATGTATGATAGAGGTCTATTTTTAATTTTTTATGTTGTTATACAAAACTTCCCAGCACTAAGGATTTAATAGTGTCTTATTTTCTACTTTATCTGCAATGCTAGCTCATACATATTTTTTCACCCATGCATGTAACTTTTTCATGTCTGTATTTTTCTCTTTTTTGATTCGTTAATTTGTCTATGTTCTCATATCACTTTGTTAACAAAGTTTTAGCAAGGTCTTAATGTCTAGCTGGACAAGGCCTCAACATTTTCTTTTTCTTCAATAGTTATAGGCTACTCTTGGCTCCTTGCAGTTTATTAAATGTTTAGGATTCTGCTTTGTAAGGTTCATAACAAAGTCTGAGATATTGCTTGGAATTGATTTGACTCTCTAAAATATTTTAAAATCATTGAACAATTGTTAGCTTCAGTACTCTTATCAAAATTTAGTTATTTTTGAAAATACTTTTATAAAATTATATAATGAGTTCCACATAGATACAAACAAAGCTAAAAGAATGATCTTTACATGTAGGAATAAAAAATAGAAATTCAATTTGAATTCTCGCCCTCCCAAGCTTTGTGCTCTTATGCACGGCTCTTACCTTATATGATATACAACTTTACTTACAAAATAAAACAAATTATATCTGTTGCTCACAATTACTTTACAGTGTTTTTATTCTGGTTGTTAATGATATATTAAAAATTGTTTCTCTTTATTATTGACCTTTAATATAATAGTTTTTGAAAATTAATGCTACATATAGCTATACTGATATTATTTCTATTAAGTGACCATTAAGTTGTTTTTTGTTTTTTTTTATGTAGAGAAACATATCATCAGCAAAGAATTTAAGTTCTTATGTCTTTTATGTCCTGTGGTTGTCTTAAATGTGGTAAAGAATCTCCACAATGATGTTGAAAAGAAGTAGTATTAGTGATCACTTTGCCTTCAGGATTTTCTAAAAGACTATTAATATCTTGAAGTTAAGGATGATGTTGCCATTTGTAGCATTTATCATGGCTGACAAAACAGGGAAACAACCAAAGTTCTATTCAATAGACGATTGGGTAAATAAGATGTGGTATGTACATACAATAGAATACTACTCATCCATAAGAAAAGATGCAATACTATCATTTGGGACAACATGAATGGACTTTAAGAATATTATGCTAGACAAAATAAGTCAGACAGAAAAAGCTAATCACCATATGATTTCATGCGTATGTGGGATATAAAACTGAAAATCATAGACAAAGAAAACAGTATGGTGGTTACCAGACGGAATGGGAAGCAGGTGGTGGTAAAGGGCAAAGGGGGTCAAGTATATGGTGATGGAAGGTGATTTGACTTTAGGCGATGGGCACACAATGCAGTACACAGGTCATGTATCATAGGATTGCACACTTGAAACCTATATAACCTTATGAATCAATATCATTTTAATAAATTATATTTTAAAATAAAATAAAGTAAAACATACTCCAAGAAAAAGAATGATGTTTATATAGATCAGTGATTTTCAGTTGGTACATTGCAGCAAGCACACTGGTGGCCACATGAGGCACACTGGTGTGCTGTAAGAATTTTTTAAGTATGCAATACCTGACTATTAGTCAAGTGCACTGCCCTAGTATCCCTTAGATTGTCTAATTTTTTTAAAAAAGAAAAAGGGAAAAAAAAAAACAAGAATAGCCGGCATAACAATAGCCATCTGCAATGAATGAATCAAATTATAGCTATTTTTTTGTCAGATTGGTAAAAAATATAATATGTTTTTTGGTATGTTGCAGAATTTTAATAATTAGCTTAGGCATGCCATAAATTTTAAAAGATTGAAAATCTCTGATATGGACTGTAGTGTGTGTGCTCAAGGAACATGTATAAAGGACTCATGGACAAAGCCCAAAGCAGGTAGGATCGAGGGTGGGAGGCGGGATGGGTGGAGTGGAGGGGAGTGGTGGGGGATGAAATGGACACACCTGTACTTGAACAATAAAAAAAGTAAAAAAATAAATTAAATAAGAAACAAGATTGTTTTTATTATAAAAAGGTGTTGAATTATAGTAAATTTGCTTATCATCTTGATGCAATTACATTTTTCTGTATTTTAATCTATTGTATACAAGTTACACTTAATGATTTTTCTTCCAAAGGAAAATTATTACTACAATCCTGGGATAAACTCTATTTGTTCGTCTATATTAGTTTTATATGTACTGAGTTGATTTGGCATAGTTTTGAGATTTTGCGACAATCTTCATAAATGACATTGACTTCTCCTTTCCTTCTGAACCCACTCTCATCTAAAATGGGAACCAATTCTCTCCCAGGCTCCCCGTCACTTCTCCTCTGAGATCTCTCAGTCTCTGTCAGTCAGGGATCCTTGCCTCTGGTTTCTATTTTGTTTGTCAGTTTATTTTGTTCCTTAGATTCCACTTATGAGTGAGGTCATATGGAATTTGACAAGGCCAAGTGGGTCAGGGGCTGGGTGCATGGGTGGGCAAAGTGGTGAGGAAATAGGGGACATCAGTAATAGCATCAACAATGAAAAAAGAGTATGAAATCACACATTTTGTTTGGGGAAAGGCAGTGGCTGGGAATAGCTAGAGCATAAGAAACAAGTAAGAATGTTTGGCCCCAATTCCTTAAACCCTCACTAGAATTGCGAGTAATTTTAATATCTTGTTTTTTCGAGATAATAGAAGGGATAAGTCAAGGTTGACAGAAAAGGAGATTCAGTTGCCTGCCACCATATAATCCAAACCTCTGAGGCAATTGCTATTGAAAAAAGAAAGAGGTTTATTCAGGTGCCTTGTGACCTGGGAGGATGGAGGACTCTCCGCTTCAAAGCTCATCTTCTACACAAATTCAAGAAAAAGGTAGTGTTTAGAGTTTCCACTCCAGTTTAAAGTAGGGTGCTTTGAACCCAGCAGGTTGCTACTAAGCAGCCATAGGCCCCATCCATGTAGCATAGCTCGTTCCCCGCTGCTGTTCTTTCTGGGCTCACTCCCGGAGCTTCATGTAGAGCGAGCACAGCCAGGGGCCATGCCGCTGCTAGGACCCCAGTGTTGCGTGCTCCCAGGAAAGAGACTGTGAATGCAGGGGTGAACGCATCACCAGGTCAGCAAGAGAGGGAGAAAGAGGCTCCCTCCTGGAGGCCGTCGGCCACTTGGCTGCTAAGGCCACATAATCCATGGAGAGAACAGCCTGCACCACGTGAGTCTAGATCACAGGCAAGAGAGAAAGAAGGCGTTTCTTTGCTGCCCTGGCATTATGTTAGCTTGTATGTGTGATGGACAGGTGCTTTTTCAAAATGACCAATATGCTTCCCAAACTCTTGCATGCTTCTGGTGGGCCCACCTCCCCTTCAATCTCTTCTCTTCCCAGACTAGACTGACAAACTTCCTTGGTCCATCACCTCTCCCCAAAATACAAAAATTTTGAGTAGCTAGAAATCAGAACATTAAGACATTAGTTGGTTATGCTGTTTTTCTGAGAAAATTTGGTGGTATGGTTTTGAATAATAAAGGCGGAGCAATATACTAAGTGATGTTCACAAGAAAAAAACAGAAAGGGGCCCTATTTAAGAGCAGAGATTGATCTGAGACTCCCACATATCTAAAAAATGAGATAATATTGGCCTGAATTTTATTGTTATTTAAACTAAGCATATGATGGCTTATCATGCAATTTTTATGTAGTACTTCCTTTATATTTTTATAAGTAAAATATGATATGAGTACATATAATGACATAGATGTCTTTGTGTGCATATTAAAGCTAAAAATGTTTCTCTAGTTTCAATCTACAAGATACAGCACACTGGATGCCACTCAAACTTATAATAGCATGGACACAGGATGATTAAAAAGTTTAGTTGATTTTCTCCTCTTTTTTTCACACTGTACTTACAATCAATTTTTTTGTTTCATTAATCATTTATTGCTAATGACGTTGTTCACCCAGCACCTCTGTAAGTAACATTCCCTTTGAACTGTTCTGTTATATTGACCTGTATAATGCTACAGGTTCTTTGCCCAGGATGCTCCTGAAGTGCACATAGGAGAACTTTTATATAATAAAACTATTGAATATTTCTAGGTCTAAGAATATGGGGATGGAGTTATATAAAACTTTTAATATCTTGATTCAGAAAAAGATTATGTATTTTACCATTTGTTTCTCAAAACTCTGGCATACATTTTATCACTAAATTCATTTTTAAGTGATAAGATGCTGTTAGGACCCAATATTTATTTTGCCCCTTAGCAAAATGTTCTGCGTAGTGAAGGGGCAAAAGGAAGTACCTGTGGCTTGTGCTGTTTTTTTCAACAGGAAAATGAGATTAGAATAACATCATATTTTTCTCGGGTGTCAAAATTGATTGGACATCTCTTGTCTCAGTTCTAAATTGTGAGCTCAAGACTTGCTTAAATTTTTCACACGAAGCAGGACGGTCCTTCTCTGATCAGGTGTGTGTCTGTCTGTGTTTATGTGTTTCTAAGGACTACTATTCAAGAAATGAGGGATTCTTGAGGCTTAAACCTCAAGAAAATTTCTAAAAATATTTGTGCAACAAAGTAATTGTCATTGATTCTTGAGTGTTTAAATAGAATTACTGAAGGCAAGGAATGCTTATTACTTCTGAAGTGTACTCTTTCATACTTTATTCAATGATAATTAGGATAAACTTAACGAAGAATTAGAAGTTATGAGGCTGTTATAAGATGAAGTCTTGTCTCTAAACAAAACTAAAAGAATGAATCTTTACATTTGGAAATAAAAAATTGCATTTCAATTTGACTTCTCACCTTTATGAATTTTGTGCTCTTACGCAAGGCACTTACTTTATGTAACACACAACTTTACTTACAAAATAAAACTAATTATAGCTGTTGCTTTCAACTACTATGTTTAAATATGAAACAGATTTTATTTTAAAATCTAAGCACTATGCCTATTTATTAAGTAGCTATTTTTCTGAGAGCTCTACTAGACACTGTATGATGTTACTACACAAATAGATGATTTTTGCTAATGACATGCTAAAACCAATTATTACCAAATTAAATAAAAACAAGTATAAATAGAAAACTTTATACTTGTCATTCAATATCAGTGTGTTGTCATTCAATATCAGTGATGAAAACATTAAGTATCTTAATGTAGGCAAATGTAAAAACTCATTATGCATATTTAGTTTTATAACCAAGATAAATTTAAGAAATTAATTTATCTGACTTTATATTAATTCTCATTTTCATTCATTCTTTTTAAATATGTGCATGGAGGAAATTTTTCTGTATTCTCACTTTCCAATCAAAGTGTATAATTTCACCACACAGGAAAAAAAGAAGAAAAAAAATGAGTGATTTTATTTTATTCAGGAGCCTTTTTAAAATAAAGATTTTGGATTAATTTCTATGGTAGATGAGAAGTCTTAATATGATGCGGTTGGCCAGAGATCCATCAGCTCATCACCACATGGGTATGTACTTTCCACATAAAGGTGTGGTTTGGACTATGTATGATTTTAATATACCCAGAATTTGATACAAGCATATAAGTCATAAAAAAGCCATTTATTCTGATTGACTTATGTTCATTTTACATTTATTTTATGTTGTGTTAATGTTATATTTAAACCAAGTCTTTAAAATCTTGAAAGCTTGTTCTTCTTTTATTTTCTTAACTACCTAAAGAAAATTCCCACAGTTTGAGGCAGCCTGAAGTAGTGACAGCAGCACCAGCATTTGGAGCTAGAAGGATTGAATTTTAAACTTCTTTTCACAGTCTCTAGTTTTGAGGTCTGGGTAATCCACAGCATCTAAGTATCTAAATTTTTTGTTTTTATGTGAACTAGAGATATAAAACATGTGACATTTATCTTAGTGTATTTCTATGATATTCATATAAAATCACATATATTTGAAAGGGTTTCTTAAAAGTATTATGAATTACTCAGTGGCAACATTATTTTAAATAAGCAACACTATATTAGCCACTTCTAAAATTCAATTTCTTCATTCATAACATAACATCTACCCTCTTCATATATTTAATAATTAAATTATATATTGTATGTACAGTTCTGTAGTTTAATTTTAGGTGTAAAAGGTAATTAGCATTAGCATTTCAGTTATAAAAGGCTTTTGCATATTTAATATTTTTACTGTTTCACAAAGAGAGCAAAATGATTTTTTTACTTCTTTTGTTCACAAGATTCTTTGTCTTTGTCTTTAAATTATAGACTGCACTATTTTATTCTTTGTGTGTCCTCCACTATGAAGACAATTATACACACTAGCCATTACTAAGTATTTACTGTCATTGACATTATTGATACTAAGTGTATATTATTTTATTTCACTTTCAAGGATAACCATACCACATAGTATTGATAGCTTTTGTTCCTTTTTTAACTCTTTCATTTTTGTGCAATTTCTGAAGTCATTAAGTTAGTAAATGTGGTTCCATAAATTAAACATGTCTAATTCCCTGAGGCTCTATTTTTTCACTATACGATGTATTTATTTTATTGTTAGTTTTAATTATGTGGTTAGAATTAACTCCTGTTAATAGTACATAAGATTTTGCTAAGATATTTTGCTATAGAATAATTATAATTTTATTTATACTACAAAGGACAATAATTATACTAATGAAATAATATAAAACAAAATTAAAATTGATGTTATATTTTAACAGGAGAAAGATAGAAATGACAAGATAAAGTTTAAAAATTAATGATGTAAGTAGGAGAAAGGTCACGTATCATATTGAACTGAATTGTTTTTCTCCAGAGATGAGTGAAACCCACAATTATGAATTTAAATTCAGAAATCATGCTACTCCTACACCATGGCAAAAGAAAAGACCTACACTGATTACAAACACATCTGGAGGAAACTGTAAGTATCATGTTCCATTTGTCATCTTGAGGTGCAAATTGGAAACTATGTGATCATCAAGAATAAACATTCAGTTTAATTTTACCTTCATGAGAGGAGCTGAAATGAGCTTAAATTTTATTTAAATTGGACTACGTAAAAAAGTGAGAAGAAATTGTTGAGTTTAACATCTTTCCATGCCCTAAAAAAGATAAGATTATCATAGTGAAGTCAATTGAGACTGCAGTTTTTAAGAAATCACTGAACAGCCTGCTGTCAGGACAGGTAAATAGAAGAGAAAAGAAATACAAAATATTCTTCAGTGTTATGTTTTTTAACAGAATGGCAGCAGTGACTTGACTGCTATTGACAGAAAGGCTTCTGTGTAGTGAAAAAGGTATTCTGTCTGTCCTTTATCAAGAAAAATAGGAGGGGAGATGAAGCCTGAAAAAGGTTACACAAAAAGGAAAACAACAGGTTACTCACACCTATAAATTTTTATTATATGTTAAAAAATAAATGATTATCAAATAGCCTCACTTTCAAGAATTATAGAAATGAAAATGTGTTCACTGCAATAACCAAAGATTGTATATCATGTGCATAATGTTGAAAAGGTTTTGTATAAAAATCAATATGAATTCTTAATTTATAAGAACTTAATTTTCAAAACCTCTAAAATATAAACACTGCCTTTAAGATATATGTCCCAAAGCTACCAATATGTTTATTGACAAATGCTTACACTATTTTCATTGTAGTTAGAAAAAGGCAAGAATTTTTATTCTCATTATTGTTTATTAATATTGGTTATTTTGCTGGTGCTAGCCAATGTGCATAATCATGGAAGGGAAGAAAAATAAGCAAGTGATCTGAAAATAGAATAAAATGGTGAAATAAATATTACTAGCAAAAATATATGACTTAAAATATTTTAAACCCTCAAAAGCCTCACCTCATAAACTGAAAAACAATAAGGAAATCTGATGTGCAGACCTAACTGAAAATAAGATGTGAATGAAAATCAACTGTCTACAAAGCTGCAAAGACAAGAAATATATGATGAAATGAAAATGCTGTATTTACAGGACCAAAAATCAGAAATAAACTTTTTAATTAAAAATACTGGAAATAAATTTATTACTTTCAAGTTGTATTAATGAACATAATACATACATAGTAGAAAAAGAAACTATTAGGGGCACTGTAGGTGCACAAGCATATTATAAAAGTAAGGATATTTTCCATATTAGAATAAAAAAACAGATTAAAGAATATAAAAATAAATGCAAACATATAAGATTGTACTATATGCTAAAGGTAGTGTTTTATATCAATGAGAACAATGATTTATTTGGCAAGTAATGTTAGAAAAATTCATTGACTATTTGGTAAATAAAAAATTTTTATAAATTTGAGTTCCTACCTCACTTATTACACACACATAAACATACAGTCACACATGAATAAAAAATAGACCAAAATAAAAAGGAAACCATATAAATTTTGATTGAACATTTGGTATACTTTATTATATAAACCCAGAATAGTGAAAGCAGTTTTATTTATATCAAAAAAGCATAATGGTTTGAGCAACTCAACCATTATCCATTTCAGAACTCTCAAAGGATCATAAATAAAGTTTAAAAAAATGATGTTTGATATGAGTGTTTGCAAAACATATAGCAAGAATACTAATATCCTCAACCAGAAAGGTGAGAATAAAACTAATAACTTAATAAAAATATGAGAAGTCTCAAAGAAATAAATAAACACATGACAACCATAGCAAGAGATGTTTAATCTTTTGTTATTTATTTATAAAAATTAAAATAAATTTAAAATCTTAAAAATAATCTTGGTTATCAGATTTATACATTTAAAATGTGAATACTTAATGAAGAGGAAAGTGTAAGCAAGAAGTCTTTTTTAAGTTTCTATTTGGTTGTACATAGATTGGTGTAGCCTCTTTGGACTAAAATTTTCAAACATTACAAAAATTTTAAAAGCAAATGCTCTTTAACTCACTATTTACCTTTTGGGAATTTCTCGCAGAGAGGTACTCAAAATATGCACTGGTGTGTATAAAATGTTATTTATGTTATTATATTAAAAGAAAAATCTAAAAAACAATTTAAATATGCATTGCAAGAAAAAAAAATCTGTCAATGAGATTTTGTTCATATAGCAATGAAACACAATTCAGGCAGCTAATTATAAAAATTTGACAACTTTACAAGACATGATGAGAAAAATCACTAGAATATTTTCTTCAGTAAGAAATATTATGGAATATTTTTATAGTTTTTTAAATTTGCTTTTAAGAGGAGGGTTAAGAGGAACTGTTTGTATTTATTATTCTATCTCCATGGAAATTTTCAAAAAGTATAATGATGATTTATTCCAGGGGTGAACTAGGGGACTTATAGAGAGGAATAGGAGGTAACATTACATATTTATAGTCTTATTTTAAATCATTTACAAAGGACTTATTTTAGCTGTTCTGAGAAAAATAATTGAGGAAAAAGTATTGTTATCACTCCCACATAAAAATTGCTCTAATATTTATATTAAATATAAGTATACCAGAGCCCTTTAATCTTTCTCTCATTTTTTTCACTCTTTTTTCTTTGACAGCATCTCCATTTTTTCTTGCCCGGGCCATTGCTCTAGCTATGGGAATCCGTTTCATTGTAATGGTTATGATATGCAGTGCCATTATCATAAATTGTAAGTGCTAACACAGTGGGTAGCACTGTTAATCTAATAATTGGAATGAATTACTTTGATTAACATTCAAAAAACAGAAATGTAAACTAGCAATATCAAATGTTTCTTTATATTTTAGCTATTAGTTTAGAAACTTGTCAACTATTTTTACTTTTGCTTGGACTATGTTATAGTAACACAAAACCTTCTAATGATTATGATCCTTTTAATAGCATTACTCAGTCAAGAAGCTCCAACATTTTTGAATGGTAAGAGACGGTTTTCTGACATCATTGTTATTATTATTTCATTTTTAATTGTTGAAACTATTAAAAATATCCTCCATTTCCCCTCCCTTGACACCCTTCTACCAGCCCTCCCCCAGCCATCACTGTGTCCATGGACTATGCACACAGGTACTTTGTTTAATCTCTTCACGTCTCCTCCACCACCCTCCCCTTGAAGCACAAATTGCATGTACCTGTGTATATGGGGTTTAAACATGTATCAATGCTAATACCAAAAAAGTTTGTAAGACAGATCATGTATCATAGAAATGTACACTAGAAACCTATATAATTGTATTAACCAATGGCACCTCAATACATTTAATAAAAATAAAATGTATGGGAAAATAATTCTTGTTCACAATTTGCTATGTTATTAAATTTTATTTTATTTTTTACAATGAAAGAGACTCATAAACAGTAGAGAACACAGTTTTGCATATCTATCTATAAATATGTAAAGTTAGGTCATTAAGTATGACCATAATGGTTTCATATTTGGAATTTTAGAGTTAGAATAAAATAGGTATTTAGTCCTGTCTTACGTGGCTCAGTGGATGGAGTGCCAGCCTGTGAACCAAAGGGTCACCCATTCAAGTCCCTGTCAAGACACATGCCTAGGTTGTGGCCACGTCCTCAATGGGGTTGTCTGAAAGGAAACCACACATTAATGTTTCTCTCCCTCTCTTTCTCCTTCCTTTCCCCTGTCTATAAAAATAAGTAAATAAAATATTTTTTTAAAAGGTATTTAGCTTGTTTAGAAAAAGTTTATAATATTTACACATGTGCAGAAATAATAATATATTTCTCATTTCTAGAAAGTTACTGTGGACCATGTCCTAAAACCTGGCTGTGTTATAGAAACAACTGCTACCAATTTTTTCATGAGAGAAAAAACTGGTTTCAGAGCCAAGCTTTTTGTATGTCTCAAAATTCCAGTCTCCTGAAGATATACAGCAAAGAGGACCAGGTTAAGTGTTGTTTAATTCATTTTCCTGTATTGAGTCCTAACACGTTTGGAAATTCTCTGGGATATGAACCTGAAATATCACAGAGACACTGGGCTTAGACATACCAACCACAAAACTGTCTGCATTAAAAATAACAAGCACTAAATCCAGGAAAACACAAAAATTTCAGGTATTCCATTTGTGCTGTTTAAGTTGGAATTATGCCAGAGGACAGAATGCATTTTCTAAGGGTTTGAGAAAATGATTACATGATTAGGGTTTTGTCTTCACTAAAATTCTGAGAACTGACTTTATTTGTGATTTCAAACAGGATTTCCTTCGACTGGTGAAGTCCTATCACTGGATGGGACTAGTACAAAATCCAGCAAATGGATCCTGGCAGTGGGAAGATGGCTCCGTTGTCTCTCCCAGTCAGTAAGTCTCCACCAAGAGGTCTCTCCGTGCAAATCTGTCTCCAAGCTATTCCTATGATCGCGCACCTATCCCATTTTCCTTCACACAGTGCCAGGGCATTCCTATATGCTAACAGAGTCAGCCAAAAACTCTTAGGGACTAGATTTAGTAGAGTGGGGAGCACAGCAGCTAATACTCGTAATAATAAGTTCCATTAATTGTTTGCTATGTGCTCAGGCCTGTGCAAGATAGGTGTAACGTCAGGCTCATGTTACACTGAGTCTGAAGCAGAGAGGTTAAGTATCACATTCATTCTTTTACGAAGTTATTACCAGAGTTGTTGAGATACGTTTGACATCCAATAAAGTGCACAGAGTGAAAGTGTACAATTGGGATAAATTGTGACAAATGTATCCATCAAAAAAACATTAATAACATCAAGATAATTAACATATTTATCTGTTGCTAAACATCTTCTTCGCACCTTTATAATCCTTCCTACCTACCTCTTTCTATCTCCAGTCAATCATCTGCTTTCTGTCACGATAGATTAGTTTGTAATTACAGAATGACATTAATGGAGTTCTGCAGTATGCACTGTTTTTGTGTCTGGCCTTTTTAACCACTGTATTATTTGAAGATTAGCCACCTCATAGCACGTATGAAGAACTTATTTCTTTTCATGGCTGAGAGCTTTTCCATTTATAGGTGTTGCTCGTTATGTTTATTCTTTCATAAGTCAATGGATATTTGGGTAGTTCCCAGCTGTGGATTATTGAAAATAAAGCTACTTCAGAGGTCTTCTGGTCAAGGTGGTGGCATAAGTAAACACGGTACTCATATGCCCTAATAACCATATCAAAATTACAACTAAACTACAGAACAAACATTATTCAGAACCACCTAAAATCTATCTGAGTGGAAGTCCTACAACTAGGGATTTAAAGAAGCACATCCAGGCTGGTAGGAGGGGTGGAACAGAGAATGGTCTGATCCCACACCAATGAGAATGGGATAAAAATCAAGAGAGATATCTCAGCTGTGGAGGACCCCCTGAGGAGCTAGGGGTCCCAGCCCCACACCAGGACTCTCTGACCCAAGTTGCCAGTGCCAGGAAGAGATAGTCCCCAAACTTCGGGCTGTAAAAACCAGCGGAGTTTGTGGCTCAGTGAGACAGAGAGCTGCGGGTTTACCAGGCTTTCCTCTTACAGGGCCCGCGCACAGACTTATTTGGACTCACTCCCTCTGAGATCCAGTGTTAGGGCCGAAGCTTGGAAGGCACCGGAGAATACGGGGAGGAGCTGAAATATCTGGCATTGGGAGAGCTTGAGGGAGCAGCTTTCTCCCAGACAGAAGTGCTGGCAGAGACCTTGTTTCCCATGTTGAGCCCTCTCCTGACAGAGCCAGCAGCCAGCCGCCATATCTGAGTCTGCATCAACCTGGCTCACACTGCTTTCCCTGCCCCAGTGGTTCCCTGAGACTCCTCCCCAAAAACTTGGGAGCCCACCAAAGCTGTTTCAGTGGCTTTTCCACATGAATGACCTGTCCTGGCTCATGCTTCAGACTTCCCTAAAATGTCACAGGAACTTCCCCCAAATCTCAAAAACAAGCAGCATCTGGCCTCAATGTAACCTGTAACTCTTGCTACGTGGCTCCAGAATGGGCACTAGTGACATGGCTTTGGATCACAGCAGGGGTTTTCCTGGTCACCACCAAGCCCAGCACATATATCAGCCATCTGCAGATCACACCGTAGCTCTTGTAGGTGTTCCCAGGCAGGACACAGATGGTGGCTGACCTTGTACTTTCTAGGAGACCCCAGAGCCAGTGCAGACATGGACAGCTTCAGATCACGTGGCATTACAACCCTACCATCACCATGAGCCACACACCCAAGGGCAAACTTGATGAGCACCAAAGCCCCACTAAAGCGAGTCCCGCTTGGTAGGATCTGCTCCAGCACAACAGCTGCTCAACTGTAGTCACAATCCATCCTCCCAGCCTGTCAGCCTGGGGGTCAGTCCCTCCCAGTGAGGCCAACAGCCATCAACTTTCAACTACAACAGGACAGTGCACACAGGCCACAAGTGGGTGTACCTGCAGCACCCAGGTCAGGTGACGGGAGGCTGCACCTCTCAGCTCTAGAGGAAACCTACTACACAGTGCCACTCTAACAAGTGCAGGATGCATTGCAGCTCTAATCTAATACATAAAACAAACATAGGGGAAGCAACCCTAGCTGGTGTGGCTCAGTGGATTGAGCGCTGTCCTGCAAACCAAAGGACTGCTGATTCAATTCCCATTATAGGGCACATGCCTGAGTTGCAGTCCAGGTCTCCAGCAGGGGGCATGTGAAATGCAACCATCCAGTGATGTTTCTCTCCCTCAGTAAAAATAAATAAATAAAAATCTAAAAACAAACAAACAAACATAGGAGAAGCAGCCAAAATGCAGAGACAAGGAAACAGGTCTCCATAATACATGGGAGAAAAATCGCAAAAAAGAAAACTAAATGGAGCGGAGACAAGCAAACTACTGGGATTTAAAACAGTGGTTATAAGGATTCTTGGGTAATTTAGTGAGAACTTTAGGAGCATGCAAAAACACATAGAAGCCATAAAAAAGAACCTGTCAGAGGTAAAGGATACACTAACTGAAATGAAGGATATGTTACAAGGGAATCAACAGAAGAGTCAACAAAGCTGAGAATCTAATCAGTGATTTGGAATATATGGAAGCATAAAACACTTAATCAGAGGAGCAAAAAGAGAAAAAGAATAAAAAACAATGAAAATAGTGTAAGGAGCTTTTGGACAACTTCAAGTATACCAACATTCACATCATGGGGTCCAGGAAAAAGAGGAGAGAGAACAAAAATTGAAAACCTACTTGAAAAAATAATGGAAGAAAACTTCCCTAATCTGGTGAATAAAACAGACAGAGAAGTTCAGGAAGCACAGACAGTCCCAAACAAGATGAACCCAAAGAGACCCACTCCAAGATATATCATAATTAAGATGACAAATGTCAAAGACAAAGAGAAAATCTTAAAAACAGGAAGAGAAAAGCAGTTAATTACCTACCAGAAAGCTCACAGAAGACTGTCAACTGAGTTCTCAACAGAAACTTTATAGGTCAGAAGAGAATCCTGGCTGGTGTGGCTCAGTGGACTGAGCATGGGGTTGCGAACCAAAGTGTCACTGGTTTAATTCCCAGTCAGGGCACAGGCCTGGGTTGCAGACCAGGTCCCCGGTAGAGGGCGTACGAGAGGCATCCACACACAGATGTTTCCTTCTCTTTCTCCCTTCCAAAAATAATAAAACCTTTAAAAAAAAAAAAAAAGAAGAGATTGGCAGGAAATACTCAAACAAGGACCTACAACCAAGATTAGTCTACCCAGCAAAGCTGTCATTTAGAATCAAAGAACAGATAAAGACATTTCCAGAGAAGAAAAAGCTAAAGGAGTTTATCACCACCACATCCATATAACATGGGGGAATGATAAAGGGTTTTCTTCAAAAATGATAACAAATATGAACAATAAAATGGCAATAAATATATATATCAACAATTGAATCTAAAAAACAAACAAACAGAACAGAAAGAGGCTTACAGGTACAGAAAATATTTTGAGGGTTGCCAGGTGAGATGGGGGGTTAGGAGGCATTGGTGAAAAACATGAAGGGATTAAGAAATCCAAATTGGTTGTCACAGAACAGTCATGGGGATGTGAAGTGCAGCATAGGAAACATAGTCACTAATATTCTAATAACTATGTATGGTGTCAGAGGGGTACTGGACTTATCAGAGTCACTTAGTAAGTTCTGTAAGTCTACTCATTGGGGTGTACAGCTGAAACTAATATAATGGTGTATATCAACTGTAATTGAAAAATAAGAATGAATTAAAAAGGAAAAAAGAAAAACTATTTGTTGTGAATATATGTGTGCAAGACTTTGAATGAATAATAGCTCTCCTTTTTCTTACATGATTGATTAACCAGGAGTGGAATAGATGAATCACATAATAAGTTGTATGTTTAACTTTTTAAAAGTCTTCCAAACTATTATGCAAAGGATTGTGCAATTTTTCAATCCCACTAATAGTGTGAGAGATTTCTTGTTGCTCAACCTCTTGGTCTACAAGTGTTACAATTAATCTCTTAAATTTTAGGCATTCTAATGTGTGTAGTGGGATCTCATTGTGGTATGAATTTGCATATTCTGAATGCCTAATGATCCAAGCATCTATTCTGTGCTTATTTACCATTCATTATCCAATTTTCTATTTCATTGATTTCTGCTCTGTTATCTACTATCTTCTCACTAAGCCAAGTGCTAGAAACAACCTAAGTGATCATCAGTATATGAGTAGATCAAAAAACTGTCGTACATTTACACAATAGAATACTATGCAGCAGAAAGAAAGAAGGAACTCCTACCCTTTGTAACAGCATGGATGGGACTGGCGAGCATCATGCTAAGTGAAATAAGCCAGGGGGTTCAAGACAAATACCATATAATCTCACATATAAGAAGAACATAATCAACAAAACAAACAAATGAGCCAAAAAGAACCAGAGGCTTAGAAACAAAGAACAAACTGCAGTGACCAGAGAGGAGAGGGGAAGAGCTTAATGGGGAAAAAGGGGGAAGGGGCAAGCCAAGGAACACAAATAGAGGACTCATGGCCACAGACAACGGGGGGAATGACTGTGGGAGTTGGAGAGGGTGGGGCAGAGGAGAGCAATGGGGAAAAAGGAGGGACAATTGTAACCGAACAAAAATAAAAAAAGAATATTGTATATTTTTCACAAAACATAACAATTTTGAATACGTTTCAAGCTCAAATATTTGTTTTAAAAACATTCTAAAGCTTTCATTTCACTAGGGTATGCATATAAAGAGATCCCAGAGTTTCTAAATTGACTTATTTCTAATGTGTAATAATAGTAGCACATGATTTGTTGTAGAATGCATTTTTACTGCTGTTATCAGAGGTAGCTATGTTTTGCTAATCTGTAAATTAAGAAAGACCAGGCATAGTCCTTAAATATCCTGAGATATTATTATTTCATTACCTATATTTAAATGAATATTATTCAATTTTTATTCTTCTGCATTGGTGATGTCCTAATTGTAATTTGTCTTTCTCCCTAATCTAGGCTAACATTGGTTGAAATGGACAATGGAACCTGTGCGGTTTATGGCTCAAATTTTAAAGGTTACACAGAAAACTGTATGACCCCAAACACATACATCTGCATGCAGAGGACTGTGTAAAGAGTTTATTGTTTATAAAATATAAAGGATTTGAAAACAAAAACGCCATTCTCTGAGTGTTCTTCATGAAGAAACATCCAGAATAAAATTCCAGTATTTATTAGTTTTCATCTGACATGCCACAAAACATAATCAGCAGCAAACAAAAGCTAACTATTAAAGACTTTTTCTTCTATAACATGTTATATATAATTTTTAAATTACTGAGTGATGAATAAATTCAATTTAAGTTTAGTAAACTGTTGATTATACCTATGGTTGAACTAAATTTTAAACTATCATTTTATTAAATATTCACAAATATTAAACTAATAGAGCTTTCAAAACTTCAAATACAACGCATTTGAAAATTAAATATGCTTAAAAGTAGGTAAGTAGTGCATGAGGATTCATTACATTTGTTATTTCTGAAAATTTTCTAAAGCTGAAGTATCAACAAAAACACCCTTAACTTTTCAAAATGTCACTACTGACTTTATATAGAACATGAGATATTTGGCAAAATTGAATCATTCCTTATAATGAGAACGTGGCACTGACTGCTGCAAAACAGGAAATACAAAATTGAGTTTAGGTAGGCTTTATAAGACTTCTAGAGGGGAAAAGTGGCATCCTAGTTAAAACCTGTAGCGAGTAGAAATCTGGGCAAATCATAGGTAACAGAATCCTTGGCAACTGGAATAATACTTGGCGTACATGCAGCAGTTGGAAGTGTCTTCCATGACCACTTCAGAGTCATGAAGAGTGTTTAAATTCTCTTGATCTTTACAACCATTTCTAAGCCATTGCTTTCCAGACTTCTAAAGAAGCTCATTCTCTCAAGGTCACTTTATTTCTGCCCCATACGGGTCATAGGTCATTATAATGAGTCAGAGAAAAGACTCCAGAAAAATATCAAAAGATTGTGTTCAATATGAAGCTACTTTACAGTGACTCCACTTTATTTAAAGTTTTGAAGTATTTGGTGGACTTGAAAATTCAATCACTAGAAGTTTTCTTTCTTGTTTTTGTTTTGTTTGGTTTGATTTGATTACTGCTTCAACTTCATCAGTTATAATCAGTCCGTTCAGATTTTCTATTTCTTCATGATTCAGTATGGGCAGACTGTATGTTCACAGGAATTTATCCATATCTTCCATCAAATAAATTTAAACTTCAATCATTAGAGATTTATTAAATCTTTACTTCTTCTTTTTTTTTTGTCAAATCTTTTTTTAATGGTGTTTTCTTTTTTTTTTTATTTTTCAATTTCATTTGTCTCCATTTTCCCACCACCACTTTCGCCTGCCCCCTCCCTCAATCCTTTGCCACTTTGGCTTTGTCCCTGGGTCCTTTGTACATGTTCCTTGACTTGATTTATATTTTCTTTTTATCTTTACTCTTTATCACATCATGTAATTAACTACTTGTCATATATTTGAGTTCGGCTTGACACATGGACAAAGCCAAAGTGGGGGTAGGATCCAGGGTGGCAGGCGGGAGGTCAGAATGGTGGGGTGGGGGAGGTAGTGGAGGGAAAATGGAGACATCTATACTTGAACAACAATAAAAAATAATAAAAAATAAAAAATATTTAAATTTAATTGATGGCTCATTTATTACAAAAATGTATATAGGATGTAATATTTTAAATATACACATTTTTAGGTAAATAAATGTTTTTCTTAAATATAGTGAAAAAACTACCCTGGAATGGTTTCAGTGTTTCCTCTTTTTCCTTCTTTAATTAAATTTATGAGGATGAAAATGGTTAATAAATTATATAGTTTTCAAGCGTACAGTTCTATAATATATTATCTGGACATGCACTATAAGCCAAACTCTCAAAGTCAAACATTTTTTGTCACATATTAACCCCTTTACCCCTCACTGCCCCAGCCCTCCTTCTGGTAACTACCATACTGTTGTCTACGTCTATGAGTTTTGTTTGTTTTTCTTGTTTGTTCATGTGTTGCTTTCAGTTTTATATCCCACCTATGAATGATTCAGTCTCTCTATACTGCCTTCTTACATATACAATGACCAACTTGGCAATTACCACCAAATAACTGACCATCTCATATATATTTGCAATGTTTAGAGGCAGTATTAGCTTTTTGTAATAGAAACCTAAAAGAGAAAAGAATTTCCAAATTAAAATTATTTCACATATCAATAGTATTTTTAAAAGTTATTATGTATTTATTAAAATATAAAGAAACATACATTTCATTGGAAAATTTATTAGTCTGTAAATAATAAATAATATTTGTACCATTTAACTGTTAAAGAAGGAAAATGGTAGAGTAAGAAACTGCAAAACACTGCTCCGCTAATGTAATGGTCAAGCTGACAAAAAATGCCTGACTCAAACTTTTCAGAAATCTGGATTCTAATGAAAAAACTTACAACAAGGGCTTGTTCAACGAAGAAAAAACCTTCTCAGTTTTGGTAAGAGAACATCTGTTTAATTCAAAAACAAATGAAAGAAACATGCTAAAAATATTTTTAGTCTTGATTATTATCCATGTGTACATGACAAAACAGAACCTTTTAAATTTATCCTAGAATACACTAGGATAAGCTGAATGCTTTCTATATATTAACATTTTAAAAGGAAATTAGTGCTTTATTATCAGAGCATTTTTCACACTGTGTTCTGACTCCTATCAACTCTTAAAAATTACTGAGAATCTCAAAGACATTTTGTTATTTGAGATATATTTATCAAAGTTTGTCATACTAAAACTCCTGATATATTTAAAAGATTCACTTATTTATATGTAACAATAATAATACATACATTTTGTGTTAATATAAGATTATTATATTTTCTAAAAAAGTGCAAACCAACATTGCTTTACATTTTGACAAATCTTTAATTATCTAGCATGATAGAAAAGAACTGAATTTTTATATCTGCTTCAATGTTTAATCTATGTTAATGTCATAAAACTTTAAGAATACTTTACCATTCACTCATAAAAAAAGGAAACTGAAAAGAGAAAAACACCTTTCTATATTACTTTAAAAATAATTTTGATTTCACAGCCATCTCAAAAGTGTCTTTGTACATTATGTAGTAAATTATTTAGGTTCACAGAAATAAAAATTAAGTTTATACATAGAAAATTATCTGTTTTATACTAGAGTATAAGTCAGTCATTAGCCTCTATACTAAACAACACTATCCATGTCTAAGAGTCAAATATCTGAAGAGTCCTTAGTTGGAATAATCAGAATCAGATTTAATAGAAGACCTAACATCATACAATTTAAGATCTATTCATATGCACACTAGAGAATTAATTAATATTACTATTCTGGGGCTGGTATTTTGAAATAGCAAAAATACTTGTCTAAGCTAAAAGCTGAGCCATCTAGCCACGCCCATTTCACACCCATTGGGTGCTGTTGTAATAGAAACTGATTCAAAGCTTTCAAAGATGATAGAACATAGAATTTTTGAGAGTTCTTTTTTAACAAAATCCTGTGTAGAATGAGAACAGAAAAATAATAAATCTGACACTTTCAGTTGGGCATCTATGTATATGGAAACTAAAAGTTTTATTTTATCTGAAGTTACAGCACTATAATAAAAAATGCTCTTGTTATTTTGTGGCAACTCATTAATAACCAATAATTTCCTTACTTATCAAACAACAAGTAGGGAGCCCTTGAAAGACTCCAAACGTTGTGCTGCATACTGAGTTTGGAAAGGCAGTAAATAGACTTATTACCTAAGAATTTAAGAAAGATGCAAATCAATTAAGTAAGCAATTGCTACAGAAAGGGAAGTACAGGATAAAATGACAGTAATTGTCAGGAACTCCTATAGGACCAGCTGGTCAAGATAAATTTGTTCGTATTATAATAATTTTAGGATAAACCAGTAAAGTGACTAGGCACTCAGTAGGGTAAGGTTACAAAGTGTTGGGAAGAAGTGGTCAAATTGAGAAGAGAAGATTGAATTAAGAAGACAATAAGGGGAGTATGTTAAAATTAGTGGGTGAGGAAGTGGAAGTGATAAAACGTGAGTGGTAACTAAGGAGGCTGCAGAGATGGGCGAGAGGTCAGACATGAATTAAACTTGTACAAAATATGGCTTAGGGACTCTATGGGTCCTGAGGAGGAGTTTCAAGAAAGGGACTAGCAAAATGCGATGTGTACTATATAAATTTCCCTGTGCTGAATCAGTAATCTCAGAAGACAGAAAGCCTAGAGCCCAAGAATTAACTCCCAGAGAAGCTTACTAACATTTAAAAAACATATACATGTTTTTACCATCTCTGTGTCAGTATTTAATCTAAAAAAACTTGAACCCGAAGTAGAACAATGAAGTTAACAGTCTATCCAAGCAATTTTATGCTTAGAAACAAAATAGCAGTTTTCCCCATGTTGGTGCCAGTTGTCTTCAAAAGGCTGACATTTCCAACCTAAATAAAAAATCAGAGTGAGTCTAAATGTCTCCTATTGGTACATTTATATTTGATTAAGTTGTGAAAATAAATAAGCAATACAGAAATTATATGACAAATAGAGTCACCATTTTAAATTGCTGCCCTGTTAACTAAGTTCAACAAGGCTAAAACATAGCTTATGACACTGTAATTCTAAGAGGACAATTTTAATATATCAGCATTATCAACAACTTCCAAATTGAAGTGGATTTTTAATAAATATGATTCTGGTATCTAACACTGCATAATGTGTTTAATTAATTAATTATTGTATTGCATACAAATAAACAGATGGAGTTATTTTCTAACTCTTAGAAAGTAGAACCTTGTTCCAAAATTACCTGTAGCGTTTGAAATCAATCCCATCTGGTCTGTTTCCTGAGTGGAATTGGGATTTCCTGAATGTTGCCCTGTTACTGAAGACCAAATCACAAATATCAGTTTGGTTTGTCACATTTACTGTGAGAGAAGTATGCTATTGCACAGAGCACTTTATTTGTTATGAGATACAGATGGAGAATTCCATTATTAATGACATCTGAGTGCCACAATATAGCTGGA